GACAAGAAGCACAAAGACAATCCATGGTTGAAAAGTGGTCAAAAAGAAAAACACCATCTTTTAGGATTGAAAAGTGGCACAATTACATGATAGTATTACCACCACTAGGGTTCCCTAAACTTTTCATTATACGCTTACACTTTGGCATGATATATGGTATGGGTAGGCATCCAAAATATGGAACAAGTCTAAAAGGAAATATTATAGTCAATCTGAGCTAATAAAACCAATCTAAGGACAAGGTTGTCTTGGTTTCCAAGAAAAAAGTAGCAGCACCACTTCTCCAGCTTTGCCAAAACCAGTGACTAGTTTGGGCATCTTAAAGCAGAGATGAAATCAATCACAGATGTCTTAGAGGAAGGTGGAACTTGCTCTTTTATTCCACTAAAGATATCAGAAAAGTCAGACAGTTGCCAAACACCCACATTCATTTCTCATACTAGGATCCTAGTGATATAGCATCACTAGTGAGAGGGCTTGCACAATATAGTAGAATCCTAGAGACAAATTATGGAAATCAGAAGAGCATACCAATGGCAAATAAAACATGGATAATACGTGAGTATAAAAACCAGTGTCATGAACCTTTTTATGAATAGTATCATCATAAAGAGGTTCAACTGAAAACCTTATATAAATGTTTGAAGCAATAAGAGATTTAAGCTTTAACACTGTCATTTGTACCTTATAATTCTGCCATCTTAAAGTGGTCAATCTATGTATGACAAATTCCATGAAAACTTTACTGAAGAAAATAATCTGATGCAGTTGTTCTCAATCAAATCTAACATATTTCTGAATTTTCCTTGCTCTATCATCTTGTTAGAAATTTTTTTTGAAAAAAAATAATTTTCATTTATTCCATTAAACAGCATACAAGACACTTATGCATGATCTTGGACATAAGACCTACCAATCATGCAACAGTGCACTAACTACTAGGATGTCTCTGTTAGAGACAGTGTTTAATTACATGATCTCGGAACAAAATAAATAATAATTACAAATTAGAAACATTCAAGCATTCCATATTAAGGAAAAGAGGAGCAAATATAATTATTAACTTAAACTTGTGACGTACATGTATGTTCTATGCCAAATCCTGTGCAAACTGTAACTCCTAACCAAAAGAACATGAAAGGATGGTTTAAGTAGTCACAATCTTTCCAGATCAATGTCCATGAATGTTTCGGTGTATCACATTAAAAAATGGTTATTTGTTCAAAAGCTCATGCTGAACTTTTGAAAACACGACAAATAACTTGAACGCTAGACTTTTGTTGTTAATATTTTGATCTCTGATCATAAACAATCAACAATAGGTTTTGGAACAGCAAAATTACAAGTTTGTATATGAAATGATAGATAGCTGATGAAATATGATTTGGATAAAATGAGCAAAATAAGCATCCAGGAAAGGAGAAAAGGGCATACACAATAGCGGAGACTGCACGGCAATATCTCTCCCACATACTGCGAAACCTAGGCTGGCCTCCAAGATCCCACAATTTTATGGTAACATTTCCCTTGGTCACCTTCCTCATATTGAATCCCACCTACAATTCCAGCAAACACATCAATATCGGCACTAAGAAAATTCTGATGTATGGATGCAAAATTTAATTTTAATTGAAGAAATAACTCACAGTAGGAATCATGTCCTCGCTATATCCACCGGTCTGCAGAAGAAAACGAACATAATCAGGTCTACAAATAAATTAATATATCACAAGTAATATGCTGGCGTCCTGAAAACACGATTGTCTAAAGAACACATACCGCAATGACGTTCACAAGGGAAGTTTTCCCAGCATTCTGAAGTCCGATCAAGGAGAGCTCCATTTCTTGTTTGAAGAATAGGCTGCATTTGCAAGACAATTTCAAAGCACCATATTAGATGAATTCCCGCATGTCATCCTTATGAACATGCAAACAAATCGTTGTACCCAATATACTGCCTTCAATTGGACAAGGCGAAAGACGAAAGCAAATCAACCACCACAAAACCTTGATAAACCGAACTTTTCCAATTTTCTCTCTATATTAATTACATTCCATCGACTCTAACTCGTCAATGGCAGCTCGACAACTGCAGTTCACCAATTCAACAACTGCGCCCATGGCCACACTTCACACATCCCTAAAAAGGAACCCCTGGATTTTTACCATCTTATAACCCATTTAAACAAAATCCAGAATCACGGCAACGAAATACGAAGCAAAAAGGGAGAACGGAACCGAACAATGCGTTCACATCAAACCGGAATCCAACTAAATCGACCACGATAAAGATAAAAGGGAAGAGGAGTCAACGGATCTCACCTTCGGAGCCAATTGAGGAAAGCTTCCCACAATCCCATGGCCGACGATGGATTAAGGAGAAGAGGAGGAAGGGATCAGAGGGGTGGCTCGCTCCAAGGATCGAAGAGGGCGATTGAGGGGAGTCGGCCCACCCTTTTCTTCTTCCTCTTTATGAAGGAGTCGCGCTGTCCTCTTCTGTTTTGACCATTACTGCCCAATAAAAGAAGGGAATAGAAGAGCTTGTTTTGGTCTTTTTCTTCGGTGTGGCTTTTCATCGAACCCGATAAATTAGATGGTTCTAACGGAAGGTAAGATTTCAGGGTGGCGGTATGGGCGGCACCTCCGGGCTGGATGGTGGTGGGAATAAACTTGACCGCTTATTTCTTGACACGTGCTTAGCGCCTATGCATGCTATTGATCCCCGACTTCTCATCTACCCGCCGCAACAACCGGCCAAGGCGACTGGTTTCCGTGAGAAGCGCCCCGCGGGACCCGCCCGCAGACTGAAGTCCGATGAACGCGTAGATGCCCTACGAGGCCCCAAGGTTGACTCACTTGCGGGGCCCAGACGTAACGGAACATCAGTCGCTTATGATTCCGAGAACATCTCAGATACCCACAGAACGCCCAGCCTGGCGACTGGTGGTAGCAAGGGTCCCACAAGAAACCGGCCATCGGTCGAAGGTAGCATCATATGTTACGACTCCCGAGTTATCGTGCCGCCCATACCTACGTGGCACTCTTTGGGCAAGTGAGCATCGGGGCCCAGAGGTGGGGTCTGTGAGAGCCCAACACGTTCATGGTACTCTGGAACCCACATGTCTGGTCGTCCAGGAGGAGACACGTCATATGTCGCCCCCCGTATTTGCACCAACCACAGGACAGGTTGTCAGAAGGGTGAATAACGAGGGGAACTGATGGTATACCATCTGGGGACGACGATGACCGTCCATCCAAGATCTATGCCAATCTTGAAGAAGGACAAAAGTGGACGGTCCTCCGAATTCGGATCCTATGCTGTAGTGTTCATCCATCTCAACGAGGATCACGAACAAACACCTGAGGGGAATACCAGAGAACGGGAAGGGATGGAAGAAAGAGACCGGCATTCTTCGTATGATCTAAAGCGAAGGGGACCAAAGGAGCCACTTGCAGCGATTGATGGCTTCTTAGATGGATCTCTAAGGTGCATGCCTTTCTTCCCCAACTCAAAGACTGCGGTAGGTCCGACAAGGGAAGGGAACGACAGCATGCGTTTCTATTTTCAGTAGATTGTGGTTACCGAAAGATGGAAACCCGATTCAAGCCCATGATGCGCTTGTATATGACGAGGAAGAAGAGACATTACTGATAAGGAGGGAACCCCCAACTTTTCTTCCACACAGGAAACGAGTTGCATGGGTTAGTTGAACTTTTTGTTTATACTATAGTTCGTAATTTGCTTACCTTAGAACAGTTATGGACCACAATTGACATGCATGCTTTGTTAGATTTGCTGCCTGTCTTAAAATCCATTGGTAATTTTTTTTTGAATTGATGTTGAGACGGAAGTTTACCGAATGCAGCGTAGTAGGAATGTTGATTCTTGATTGTTAGAGAAGATTGGAAGAATATTTTATTTAGTTCTTGACACTTCTATTTGTTTCTTTAACACTGCAGTTTGTCTTTGTATTTGATGTTAGATTCATATTTATATCTTTCACATTCGAATACATCAACATGTTGATGGAAACACTTTATTCATAATGAAAGTAAATTAAAGATAGATTTTTTCAAGACATATTAGTTGTTTGATCAATTGAGGCTATTTGTCTGCTTAATTCTGTATGTTTCTGTTGTATTTTCCTTTTGGTCTTTTGGAGGTTGAAGGCTTGAACCTTGATGATTTCTAGAAATGTCTCATGTTTACGTAAAGCCTCAGAAGAATTCATCTTGTCATGCAAATAGTCAAAGTTGTATTTTTCTGGGCACATGCTGATCCTATCAAGACCTTCCCAGATAGCTTCTGTATTGCAAACATCTTGTGGAGGATATCGATCAATGACACCTGTTGTTTATTCCTGGAGGGGCAGCTCCTTTGCATTATTGTCATTCCGCCCAAATTATAGACATGTTTGTTACAGATAGAGCATCAAAATCATGTTAAGTCTATCCATCTGATCAATGCCCTCAATTAATGTCTCCGAAGTCCTTTGAAGTGTGTATTGATACTACTTTGTTCAATACCATGGTTACCATCAAGTACTACAAGACCTCAGGGATGAAAGGGCATGCATCTATAACGAAGCCACAAAATTCTGTTTTGTGAACAAAATGAGACTCAAGTTCAAAAATATTATAATCATCTCTGATCACATAGATGACTATTATCTGTTCCTTGAACTATTTGTCGTTTCCTAGATTGGTTGCTTCATTCTGCAACACACACAGTAATCTATGCTACTAATATAAAATAAGCAAACACATGAAAGACAATTTGTCATTTAATCAACAGGCCTATTTCATGGGCAAAAATATAGCAGTTGGCATACAGAGATGCCGACATAAGTGTATGGAGATGACTGAAATCCAGACCCTTGAGGCCTAAGGTGAGGCTCCATTATCGGATACTTTAATGGAAGCCCTATCTGAGTCCACTTGAAACATCATAAACAGTAAGCAAAAAAGTTCAGCTTGCTTTAATGTTTGTTCTCAACTAGTATGGAAAAGTTCAACTTAATTGATTTATATACTTTTCTCCAGGTGATGTTTAATAGAGTCGGTTGCTATTTTTTAAAAGGCTTGTAGGAATAGGTGAGTGAAGGGATTGTGCTCACAGTAGATGAAATTAAATCACCCATGATCTTCACAAGTCTAACAACATCCTTGAACATATCCTGAAGTGATCTACGATGGCAAGTCTGATTACTTGTCATGTTGATGCTCATAGACGTTGCTGATTAGCTTTAACCACCAAAGCCCAGTTGGAGTTTCGCTCAGTGACTCCCCCACAAGACCTTTCACAAACTTCTATAACATGGCTGCATGGTTGTGAGTGGGGATTTGACAATCTTCAAGGACGACAATGATGAAAGGGCATCATACATCACATACTCTTCCGAGGACAATGATAAGCTCCATGTTTGGTCCCTTAACAGCCGACTATCTTAATGTTTCAACAGTTTTGAGGATTTTTGTAGGATGACATCGAGAGGCTCATAGCAGATGCCTTACATGATCACCTCTAATTGTGCTGTGTGGCTTCCAAACAAAGCTTTGGTACATGCAGCTGAGTCAATCTTGGGTACTTGGGAGATGATGGGGATCTTTGCATTGGAATGAACAGGATGCTTAGGCTTCCCAGGTTCCTTCACTTATATCACATATTGCTGGAATCCTTCCGAGATCAAATACTTAGAAGTACATAGAGCTGATTCCAACAGTAGGACTGGGTGTTGAACCCCTCAAGAACGACATTGGTCGAGTCGGAATAGTTATTAGACTAAGTTGCCGCTCATGTGTAGTGTGCATATGCAGATATTATATAAGCAGCTTTCAATGGTTGTTCATGATGAGGGAGTATGTGATCTGCAGTTTGCTGATAGTATCATCTGCACTGTCCCAATCGTTTGATTATTTCCGTCTGTAAAAGTTTTGGGAGCACATGGAAGGATGAAATATCACCTGACTTTGTGGCCAAAACCTACTAGATTTGTCAAACAAAAGATATCGGTTGAGTTGTTTATCCTTCATTGGCTTCTTGTTGTAGTCCACAACCTTCAGATATTTGGAAAGCAATCACAAGAGGTGTCAATCTTTCAGAAAAGTGAAGCTAGTGCTGATTCAAGACTCAAGCTTGCTCCTGGCTTCTCAATCTAAAGAATTTTGCAATGTTGGATCATGAGGAGAACTGAGTGGTATAACTAATTGCTGATAGAATGTCAAGCAAAGCTCAATTTTCTGTGTACTCCTAGAGATACTGCAAATGTGAAAATGTTTATTTCTCCCAGAGTAAAATGTATTCCAGTTTCACATGACAACATCACCCCATCCAACAGTGGTATTTGTACTTTGGTGTATGGTGCAGTAACATAAAATTGCTCATCAAATCTTTTTTCACATGACTAGTGAGAAAATTCTTGTCACTGTGTCTCGAAAAGAAAATTTGCAGCTGACCAAACATGAAGAGATCTCATCCTTTTTCTCTTTTGTTGCATAAACACATGTCTAGCCTGCAAATGGTCATTTCAGTTGATAATGATGGATAATTTTGCTTTGTTATCTGATATTTCCCAAACCATGCTATTTATGTGGAAGTTCCAATGATCCTCTTCTATTGGTTACATGAGTCTGTTTCTCACTGCTTCCTAACAGTCAACTTGACCTGACTCATAACCTCAAGGTTCAACTCAAGTCAATCAGATCCTGGAAAAAGATACCATTTTGAGAAGAGTATAATCTTTCTAAAAGAGCACAGTACCATAAGTTAACAGAACTTGAGGAACTCTTTTTATGGGTTGTGAGATTTGAAGAATTAATGCATAAAATTATAATATGTGAGGAACTAATTCAAAACCAAAGTAGGAATATGAATGAAAGAAAATGTTATGCTATAAAGATGTGGACTTTTCACAAGAGAGAGAGAGAGAGAGAGAGAGAGAGAGAGAGAGCAAATCTATGATCAAATCCCTCACCCTTGAAAGGTGCTCCCACTATCTCTTCCCATCTCCAGTGACTTAAAAGCTCCACCCTGGATGACATGAACTCCTCATGCTTTTCTTTTCCATCCCTTTTTTTTGTCTTCTTACCTGTGGGGATCGATAGAGAGAGACACACCAGATGCCTAAAAAGCTAACCCCCCTCTCCCTCTCTGAGGGAAGAAAAGGAGGGGAAAAGGATAAAAATGGGACCTTGTAGGCCATGGTCTGACCACCACCACTACCAACACCACTATCTTTTGCCAGATCTCAGCAGCACCATTAGATAATGACTTCTTCCATCACTTATGTTTATCCTTCCATCTACATAACCTTTATAATCTTTGTTAATTGTTATCACCATCTTTCCCTCTGATGTCACCAATCCACCAACCCCTCATTGCCATGTCCTCCATCTTCCTCTGTTCTCTCCCTCTTCAGTCATCTCAAACTAAGCTGATCAACTAACCACTTTGACTGACCTTTCATAAGTTGTCTTGAAGTGACTCGATCTGTTCTTTATGTCATTTAATTTTACGTATCGAGTTCTTATTGGTTCTCATATCTATCATACCTCGAGCCAATTTACATAAACTCGTATGTGAGAAAAAATTAATGACAATTGCTATGAAAATAATTTGTGATGTGAACCTTAGAAATGTGATTTTTTTTTTTTTTTAGTGTACTAACATATTTCCATTGCATGCTTCTCTAAACACGTGCCGACGTTTTTTTTTTTGGGTCGAATAAGAAATAAGAGGAAAAAATAGCTGCCTCCCACGTGCCAAATGGTCTTCGGCGCTCTTCCCTCTGCCGCCATCTTCTCTCACGGCTTCCACGCGCTCGCCCACACCACCGGCTTCTCCTTCCACTCCAGGAATATGCCGGCGGATGCGTCTTCCGAATCCTCTGCCGTAGGTCGCATCGTCCATCCTTCCTTGTACCTCCTAAGGAGCGCCCTCACGTCGTCCGCCACGTCCTCGCTGAACGCCGCTGGGGCGAACCCCGCCGACCGCATCCTCCTCGACCATCCGGCAGCCGTATCCCGGCGCTCGGCTGACTCCGCCGCGGGGCATGCCACGAGGTCGACCACTGACCGCCCCGCCTCCCGCTCCAGGGCCAGCCGCTCGTTGCTCGTCCTTGGGAAGCTTTCCTCCAGCGACTCGAAGTAGGCGGAGAAGAACCTGAGACTCTCCTTGAAGACCTTGAAGAACGCCTCCCCTTCCTCCTCGCCTCCTCCTCCTCCTCCCCCTTCCAGGTCGGCCTCCTCCTCGACCACTGTCACGATCCGCGGCTGGAGGCGCCGGATGGCGGCGATGAGTGTCTCGCGGCGGCGGTTGGCGGGGGAGACGCCGTGGAGCGCGTTGATGCAGTTCACGGCCAGGGACGAGCTGTCGCCCTCCCTCAGGTCGAGGGTGTCGAGGTCGAGGTCCGACAGGTCGCCGGCGTGGTGGACGACGTTGAACCGGAAGGGCACTCCCATCAACCGCGCAAACTTCTCCATCCGCTGCCCGATCTCCCTCATGACCGTCTGCACGGCCGTCGACGGCGAGGCCGACCACACGACCGTCGTGATCGAGAGGTGGGGCGTGTCGTCGGCGGACCGCGTAGCCAGCGCCTCCAGCAGCGTCGGCCACTGGGTGCAGAAGGTGTTGCTGAGATCGAGTATGTGCAATCTCTGCGACGCCGAGGACGGATCGAGGAAGGCCTCGAGGATGGCCCCGTTGGCGGCGACGTGACCAAAGGAGGACCAGGGGCTGAGCTCCTGGAACCGGAGCGCGGTGCGACGTGTAGAGTCGAAGGAGCAGTTGCGATCGGAGGCGGCGGAAAGGGTACGCAGCGTCCGGGGCCCGGAGGACGTCAGGCGAGCAAAGAAGCCCTGGAGGAAGTAAGCCGCTAGCTTCTGCTCTGTGTCGCCATAAGGCGACGAGAGCTCGTTCAGCATCCACATGAGCTGCTGCACCCGGTGGCTGTCGCGCGCCGCGACGGCGCGCGCGCACTCGATCAGCAGCTGCGACGACCATCTCCGGCCGGCACCGGAGGCACCGACAGAGGACGAGGAAGGCGAGGCGAAGTCGAGGTTGAGGTCCTGAGGCAAGGACAGGTCAGCAGGATCGAAGATGGGAGTCGGGGTTGGCGTGGTGGTGGTGGTGGTGGTGGTGGTTGAGGGAGGTTGATGTGGGTTCTGGAAGTGCTTCGAGGACGAGGAGGAGGAGAAGTCTTCATCCATGTAAAGGTGATGCTCGGTGCCGCATTCTTCTCGGTAGAACTCCACCTCTTGCTGACGAGCAAAGGAGTTTTGGTGCAAGAAGGAGTGCTGGTAATGGATCTGGTGAGGCTCAGAGGATCTCGAGCTACTTGAATTGCGACTCAGGTCACGGGAAGATTGTGGACCGAACAATCTAAATAAGGTGTCCATCTAACGAAGGGGTCTCCGCTCCACATAGAGAGACAAAACAAGAAGAGAATAGTTGCTTGGAAGGAGCTGAGAAAAGGAGAGCAAGGTAGGGTTTAAAACAAAGCAGCGAGCGAGAGAGAGAGAGAGAGAGGAGTTTGGGTATGTGCTGAGATTGAACATTGGTGAGTGGGTGGTGGGTGCATGCTTGCCTTCCTTTTGATGCTTTTGGTGCAACCGATGAGTTGGGGGTATGGAGGAACCCATTTCTTTCCCCAGTTTCTGCTCTCCTGCTCTGCTTTTGCTTGCTTTCCTATCAGGTTTCTTTGTATTCTACACACTTGAGGATTGGCTAGGGTGGTCCTTCGGTTAGGTATACAGTAAGCATGCAACACAAAAGACTAATGGGAAGATGTCCAAATTCCAAGGAGAGTAAGAACATATTGCTTCTGCCTTTTACCTATTCCCTGGTTGCGGATGCTGGGGGATTCACCTGACATGCACATGAAAGAGGAGGAATGGTAGGCGTGCCATAGAGAAAGAGAGAGGAGAATAGGACAGGGGAAGAGGCGGAGAGCGTGCATGGGCATCATCATCAAACCCACCACCATCCCCCGACACATTCTTCTCTGCCTCCCTCGATCGAATCTGAGCTATCAAAAGCAACCCCCTTTCTGCATGTTAAAGATTGCTTTCTGTCTGTTTTCCTTCGAGTATGTGTAAGAAAACATATACTGAGATTACTTTACGGCTGCTGTATGTATAGTTTTAGATATGCCGAGAATCCAACCCTTTGTGCATGTCTCAAAACATTCCATTTGGCACCCAATGGAATGTGTGCATCATTCTTTTTGGTCAATGCACTCGAGTGTTGGTGTTAGGTCAATCAAAGTTAATATGATAATGGTAGGACAAGGATGGGTTCCTAAGATACAAGCTGAGGGATGCATAGATAGATTTCCAATGAAGAACAAGAAGAAAAAGAAGAAGAAGAAGAAGAATGCATCAACACACTGAAATCTAATGTTGAGAGGCTAATCTTAAGGGTGGTGGGGAGAAATATGAGATGATAATTTAAATCTTATTTATCATTTCTCCATTTCTTAGACTATTCTCTCCCCCTAATACGTTATCTGATTCAGAGATTCAACTTCTGTTTCTCTGAATC